CTCTCTCTCTCTCTCTCTCTCTCTCTCTCTCTCTCTCTCTCTCTCTCTCTCTCTCAGTAGTGTTCCAGGTAATCCTCCAGGTTTTTCCCCAATACCACTCCAATCGTAATTCGTATGTACTTGACCGAAAAAAAATCGCCGGTTGGAAAACTACTCTTTCGTTTATATTTCGTATGAAGAGTTTTGAAGTGCGATTGAAAAGGTTTGTGAGTCGTTCTATTAATTGCAATTAATTGTTTATTTTTGGACTGTTTTTGACCCAAATAAATAGTAAGTAAATAGACCAATCACAATCGATTATTTTTGAAACGTGGGGATGGAATTGGTCAATTTGCTTACTACTTATTTCTTACTACTACTCCTACTGCCATTGTAGATGACACTGGGTGCTTTCCAATTGCTTAACACATTTTGACACATATGTACACAGAAATACTCAAAGGCTGGGAGCACAGATTTTTGCATAACGCATAACGCATAATGCATAAGGGAATCGACCAATCAGAGACCTTTATTTCCCTCTCCAGGATAGAAATGAATGACTCTGATTGATTGATTTCCTTATGTGTTATGCATTATGCGTTATGCAAAAGTCTGTGCTCAAGCCCTAACGTTGTGCATGATTCAATTGGAACAAAGTGTGTACTAATGTGTATGTATGTCGGGTAAGGTTAGGATTATTTTTCAACTATGTTTATATTTTGGTATTTTTTAATAATAAATAATAAAATCTAAATAATAAAAAAAATATTATCCACTTCCTGTCGCAAATACCAGTCTCTTTTCAAGCCGCTACGCTTATTAACTTTAATTTTCACTAGAAAACACTAGTTTACACAGTCGATTAGTAGCCCTCGAGCTGAGTACGGATGTATAATGTTGTGTCGACGATTACGACATTGGAATGAAACTTGTGTCGTCGTGTGCATGAAAGTGTCTAGGGATATTGCAATTGGAAAGCATCCACTATTATGGAAAGTGTGTATGGCCAGCTTAAAGTTCTACAATATGTCGTATGTCGCTATCGGACGTCGGAACGCAGTTGATGGTCCAATAATAAGAACTCGTCTTGAAAAACAAATTCTTTGATTGGCCTATCGGTTGCATTTCGACATATGACAGCGACATACGACGTATTGTAGAACCGGCCTAAAGCTGACCGTGAAAATACGTGTATTCCTTTGCGCAAGTGTAATTATATCTCATAAAACAGCTGCGTAATGAAACTTACGTATACGCAATTATTCCAAGAATACGGGCATATATCATATGCGGGTGTATATCATTCCCTCATGACATGTATGATAAAAGAATGATGTTAAAAATGTAAAAACAAAGTAATTTTAAGAGAATATACTGATAAGCACAAAAAATTGTATTAACCAAATAAAAAATGATAATGAGTTCATTGATTTGTTATGTTTGCAGTCGTTATGTGTTACGAGACGAAAATGTTTCAGCAAGCATGTTTTGAGTTAATCGAATTTCGATCACATATGTGTAATGATGACTTGGATAAATCTGAAGGCTGGTTTAAACGGGAAGCACACGCTTTTGCACAAAGGCATAATGCACAACGCATAAGAAAATTGACCAATCAGAGTCCTTCATCTTCATCTTAGCGATAAAAATGGGGACTCTGATTGGTTCATTTCCTTATGCGTTGTGTATTATGTTTTTATGCGAGAGTGTGTGCTTCCCGCTTTATGGTGGTCGTAATCTATTAACTTATGCCAGAAATGTAAAAAATTGACCAATCACAGTCGATTATTCTTCTATAATTCGACTTAGTCAATTTTTTACGGTTCCGGCATAAGTTAACGGATTACGGCCATCATAAACCGATCTTTACTGTTTCACGAGCATTATCATTGGGCGCGTTCAGCAGAAAAAGCGCTCAGTGAGCAATCAGCGATTATTGGTTCTTACTGTTAGATCTCTAAATCTAGACCAATTATATTGACGAATTGTTCAACTGTTGTGCAACTGTTGAGTTCGCTGAACGCACCCATTAATGTAATGTCTGATATTTTTTGGAACTTGTACTTTGGTATCTTGGTAGAAAGGGCTATTTGAGAAAGTCTGCAAATCAAGTAAACTATAGAGAAGAAGAATTAATGTAACATAGCTCGCTCGTTTAATTGTGAATGTGAATTGTGTAAACTTAGTGGCGACATGTTGAAACTCGTACCTGGAAAACTGGCATTTGTTACTGGTTCGTTTGAGTCCGTTTGAATATCGAAGTAATGGTTTAAGTTATAAGTCAAGTCCCAATTCTTATGGGACAAGCTTGATTTATTAATATATTTTAAAAATACATATTACGATTAAAACATGATGAACAAAAATTTTTTTCATATTCTTTAATTTTTTTACCATTGTATCCCAAGGTTACTTTCACAAATCTTGTTACTATTTAAGAAAAAAATCTATAATATCATTTAGTTTCGATATATAAAACTGTTGGCAGATTATGTCAAGTATGTCATTATTTTATATAGGTTAAAACAATGTGATAATTCGATATTAATATAAAATTCAATATCATATAAGAACGCAAAATATATGCTTGACCCATAACTTACAAATGTTTATTTCTCCTTAAATTTTGGTTAAATTAATTTAAAGTTTAATTATTTTGCTTTAAAACTACAATATTTGTTGCTTATATAGGTATTAATAGTTTCTTTTAATATTTAGTCGGCAAATTTTTGTAAATGAACGAAAGTTACTCTAACTTTAAATGATCCATAATTAGAACCGCTATATTATCGTATTGAATTATCGAGTGAAATGGGTTGCTTCGAGAGTGATTATTAGAAATATATTCGAATTTAAATGAAGTTCTTGAATTGAAAAGTGGCTAATAAGTTTAATCTTGTGTTTATTAATGCGTGTTTTTATATTGAAGAATAAAGTACATGCACAAGTACATAAATTGATCGTCGTATTGGTATCTTATTACATGTAAAAAGCATGATGTAAGAACAAGTTTTGCATTATTTTTTTGTTTACTCAATATTGTTATCTTGATTATGTTGTAGGTGCTGGAAGTGGTATTGGAAGAGAAGTATGTCGGATTTTAGCCCGAGAAGGTGCCAAAATCATTGCAACTGATCAGAATATCAAGACTGCTCAAGAAACTATAAACACTTTGGAAGGTTCGCGTTTACTTATTGATCAATTTTTGATAGGATGTCTATTATAAATAATTGTTACTTTACTACCTATAGAACTTGCTGTTGCAGGTGATGGGCATATTGCATTGCATGTACAAGTCACTAATGAAGAAAGTATTCAGACTGCATTTAAAGATATCATAAAGCAATTTTTAAAGCCACCTACTATTATTGTTAATGCAGCAGGCATAGTACGAGACAATTTCATTGTGAAACTCAGTGTCGATGATTTTGATGATGTGATTAGTGTTAATTTGAAAGGTACTTTTATGGTTATGCAAACAGCTGTCAAAGCTATGATAGAGGCAGATACAACCAAAGGCTCCTCAATTATCAATGTGAGTTCTATTATTGGCAAGCATGGAAACATTGGACAGGCTAATTATAGTGCATCTAAAGCTGGAGTGATAGGTATGACCAAAACTGCTTGTATGGAGTTTGGGAAGTATGTATCAATCTATGCATTTTTGTGGTATCTTTTAATATTTATGAGAGACAAAATAATGTATCAAATGTATTTCTTACAGATTAGGGATTCGTGTAAATGCAGTATTGCCTGGTTTTATAGAAACTGCTATGGTTGCTGGTATACCAGATAATGTAAAAGAGATGTTGGTAAAACGAATATCTTTGCAAAGAATGGGAAAACCAGAAGAGGTGGCAGAGGTTATTGCATTTCTAGCTTCTGACAAAAGTTCCTATATGAGTGGTGCATCTGTTGAAATTACTGGAGGGATCAATTAAATCTGTAAAATTTTGCTACATATCAGACTTCTAAAAATATTTATCAAATTTATAAAAAAAACGTGATATATTAAACGTATATATATGTTCATAGTCAAATATATGTATATATATATATATATATATTTTTTTTTTTTTTTTTTTTTTTTTTTTTTTTTTTTTTTTTTTTTTTTTTTTTTTTTTTTTTTT